TCTTATTGTAAACAATATTTTTTATTGTTTTTTTTTTTTTTGACAATGCCTTTTTTTTAAGAGTTGCAAAATATAATAACTATATCTTTTATCCTATTTCTCATTTTTCTGTAAGTTGGAAATTGTACAGCCAAAAATTTCACTTAAGTATACTTTCCTTTTTCTGATTTTTTTTTCTTCGCCTTTATTTTGTGCGTGCGTCCAAAGGTCACAACGAGAAAAAGTTTTTTTTTTTTGTTTTTTCTTATACTTAATCGATATTATTTCTTAAGATAGGGGGGTGTTAATTGTCTGAATGTCCGTTGGTTACGTAGTTATCAGTTATTTTATATTTTCCCTTTATATAATTTGTTGCTTTCTCTCACGGCTCGTCCGAGGGCTGTGAATAAAAGAAAAATAATATTTTTCCTATAACTTTTACTCGTTTGGTTCTGCGTATCCCGTCTTTCTACACTGTACTATATGTATATGCTTGATTTACCGTTATTAAATTCTACATTACTTTTGTCTTATTATCATTACTATTCTTATAACTATTATTGATACTATATTATCGTTAACGTTGTTATTATTCATGCTTATTCCTACTGTTGTAAGTATGATTCTATTTCTATAGCCTTCTCAGACTTTATTTTTTTTGTAGTGTCTTAAGTTAACCTATCAGTTGTCAGATGATGTCGTTTACTGTATATTGTCTCATTTACCGTCCGTTATCTGTTGCGCTGTGGCTGGGACCTTGGTATAACCCCAAGTGATCTGTATGCTTCGCAAGTCCTGTTACGAGTCTGTACTTATTATTAATAATATATATATGCTTTTTGTATAATTTGTTTTTTTTCTTTGCTCTTGTTCTCTCTGATAATCAGTTTTATTTTTATGTTTATTTTTTTTGTGTCACCGTTTTTTGTATTTTATTGTTATGTCCTGATTCTTAATTAAGGAGTGTTAGTGATTTCTTTATTGGTCCCTATTATTCCGTTGGCTCTTTCGTGTTTGGTCGCCCTGTGTATGTATTGTTATTCGTCTCGGTGCTTCCGGGTTTGTTGTCATTCCATTACCTGTAGTGTTGTTCCTATTTTGTCCATCCATAAGCATTCTTGCCACATTCAGTGCTACTGGGCCTGCCCACTTTGGAACTCCGAATGATCCTGCGGCCATTCCCAGCAATATTTTCGCTATCATCCATGCGTACTCTTTTCATTCTGTCAGTTCTCCTTTTACGTGTGTCAGTTCGTGCATGCGTTGTATTAGATCTGTCAATTTCGTGGCCGTCTTTATTATGTTTTTGGGTCCATGTTCCTGACCCCCTAGTTCTTGTAGCCTGTCTCTTTTTATTACTGTCCTCATCAGCTCCATCATTTTCTCTTTTCCCTCCCCTTTTATTCATTGTAATATTTCTTTTAAATTGAGATTTGAATTTTTCATTTGCATTATTTGATTTTCTCCTTCCTCTTGTCCTGGTTCTCATCTAGTTTCGTACGTTTGGCCCACACAGTCTCTCACTAGATTTATTACTCCTGCGTCAGTTATCTTTATTGTCTCGTGTTCCGTATGTTCGCATTGTATATGTACTTTCTCTTTCCTTGTTGTGCTGAACGCATGGTGATTTCGCGCATGTAGGCGTGTCCAGTACGTGCCTTTTAGCTTAGCTAGTATTATTGTGCAATCTTTTGGTTTTTCTATGGTTTTCTCAAGTATCAATCGTACCTCGCAGGGGTGATCCTCCTCTATCTCCTGTATTGGTTCTACATTCGTACATATGTTTATTTTTCTTAGCTTTTCGCATCGTTTGGCTGTCTCCTTTGATACTGGTGTAAGCCTTTTTTCACTCGTGCTGGCTGCTATATATTCATAGGTTGGTTGCAGGTATGCGACTACATCTGTTATATTTATTCCCTCTTGCACCGCTGGTAGTGGTGATATTCTGAAAAATTCTAATTTCTCCATTGTCACTAGCGGTAATTCAATGTAGTATATAATTTTTTTGTTCAATGCTTTTATCGCTATTTCCGAAACCTCTGCTTCTTCTTTCTCTGTTGTATTAGTTTCCCCTGCGAATCTGAGATCTGGTCTGAATTGTTGTGCTAGTATTTTTACTTCCGATAATGCTTTTAAGGCTGTCTCTGGTAGGTGTGAAGTGCCTCTGCTTGCTAGGTATACTATATCCGTCGCTGTTTCGAATCTCACCACTAGTTCGTTGGACAGTTTCTCGAATTCTCTTATCGTTTTTGATGTCCTATCGTACCTATTTATAAGGTCTGTGAACATTTTTAGTCCTTCCTCCGTTATTTTTCTCGCTTTATTCTCTAGTTTTTCTATCACTTGTAGAACTTTGTCGTGATTGCAGAATATTGCGACTCTTATCTGTTCCTTCAGATACTTTGTTGTGTATGTCGTTCGTGTCCGGTTTGACTCTATTAGTTCTCGTATTTTCTCCTTTTTATCGTCCATTATTTGCCCCTGGAGTATTTGTATTCCAGTTTGGTTATTTCCGACCTTTTGTCCTACCACTGCCTTGTATGCTATTTCCATTTTTTGTAATGCTACCGATACTTTGTTTACTGTGTGTTCTATCCGCCCTTCGCACTCCTTCTGCTTCCTTATGGTTACCCTGCATTTCCATCTCATTTGCCTGCTTGCTTTAAGGAATGTATGTGTCTCTTCTGCTAATTGGGCCCTGTCTACTTACCATATTACCCTCCATGTCGTTGCAACCAGTTGGATTGAGCCTAAGTCTTCTACCAGAATTCCGGGGTTTCTTTTAATTCATTTCATTTCTCCTGGTCAATTTTTTGCTGGAGCGGCCCTAAAGCACAAACGGCCGTTTTTCTTATGTGCGGAGGTATCTTTTTTTTTTTTTTTTTTTTATTGAATNTTTTCAGTTTGATGCCCTTCCACCTTACCAACAACGAGAGCGCTTGCTTTGGCCAGATTGATTGCTCAGTTATGTTAAATATAAAAATAAAGTTGTTATTTTTTTTTCTATCGATTTTTGCTTTGTCTTTTTTTCCTTAGTATTTACTCCTCCTTTTTTTTCTACCGGTTTGGTTTAGGTAGCCCTTCACACGCCTGTTTGATTTATTTTCATTTATTTTGGATCCTCGTTTTTTCGTGTAATTGTATAGGTGTGTGTGCGTCGGCCTTTAGTGTGCTTTCCTTCGTGGTGCGTCCGGGGGCCAAGAAAGAGAGAAGGGAAAAAGGGTTTACTTTTAGTGACTACTGCCTGTGCCTGTTGATTTAGATTTCGTAGAGGGGTGTGCGATTTTCCGTATGTAATTGTATTATTTCTCTGTGTTTGTGTTTTTTTTCTTTTGCCCGTCTAAGGGTCGTGAGCAAGAAGCGCGTGGTTATTTTGTATTATCTTGCTCTTTTTTCCTTCTCGTTTTGCGGTGTATTCAGGGATTTCAATATGCATGCTTTTTAGTTTTGTCCACATGTGCTACGCGTATTTCGTTGTCCCTTTGTAATTTTTCATTGTTGTTTTTTTGTAATCTATACCTGTTATCTCATATGGCCCCTCGAATTGGTTGTCGTACTTCCCTTTGGATGGTTCTTTTAATACATATACCATTTCCCTTGCCATGAAGAACTTTGCATTGAGTTTCTTGTCGTATTAGTATTTTGATTTGTACTTATGTTGTGTCTGTGTCATTGCTGCTAGCGTTCGTAGTTGCGTAAGGTTCTCTGTTATTTGTTCTAGCAGTGCCGTATACGTATGTCCTTTTTCTGGCTGTTTAAAGCTTGAGGGAAGTTTTGCACGTTGGTCAAATACTAGTTCGTATGGGGAGTATCCTGTGCTCTCATGCTCTGATGTGTTGTATGCCAGTGCGCACAGTGGTAATACTTCGTCCCATTTTTCAGTCTGGCTGACGTATGCTTTCAAATATTTCGTCAAGACGTGATGCATCCGTTTGATTGCGCCATTGCTTTGGGGGTGGTAAGCTGTGCTCCCAATTTTGTTGACTTTAAATAGTTTCGCAAATTCCTTCATGGTTTTGTTCATAAAGTGTGTCCCCCTATACTCCCCATACGAACTAGTATTCGACCAACGTGCAAAACTTCCCTCAATAATTTTTCTGGGGCTCCGAAGTACGGTATGAATTCGTCCATTAGGGCTCTTACTGTTTCCTCTGCTGTTGCTTTCTGTACGGGGGCTAGTACTATGTATTTGGTTAGCCAGTCCTGTATTAATATAATGTGTGTATTGTTATGTTCCGATTGTTTGTTTATCGGTCCGTAGAAATCTATCGATATCTTTTCGAATGGTCTACTCGGAGTGTCCGTAATTATCATAGCTTGTTTTGTTTTTATTCGCACTAACTTTTTTGTTTGGCATGACGGGCAGCCGAGTATGTACTGTCTTACGTCTGGTCTCATATTTCGCCAATAGAAATCCTTTGCTATTTTGCTATATGATTTGTTAATACCACGATGCCCGCCTACAGCCGATTCATGATATTCTTTTATTAGCTTATACCATTGATCTACTGGTGGTACCACTAATATGCTTGTATATAAAGTAGCGCTCATTTTTATGTCTTTGAGGATTTCTTCAAATTGTTTGACCATGGATGCCCATTGGTTAAGATTCAGTATCGCTAGATCTCCAGCCCAATTGTTTTTAGTTTGTTTACCATTACTAGCGATCTAAGGGCCATTACGCATTTCTTTATGTCAGATTTCAGTGCTGTATCTTCAAAGTGAGTTTTTGCGTACATCCAAATAACGCATACTTTTCTTGATTTGGATAGCATGACGTCATCTACTGCTTTTGTATCGTTATTCATGACTGCTGGGCTTATATAGCCCCGCTCGTACTATGCGTTGATCGTCTCTGTGCCTGGGACGTCGTCCGTTATTGTAACGAATGCGAGGTTGTCGATATACCTGAATGGGTGATCTTCGACCTTTTTCATTTCTTGAAACGGGGTGGGCTCTGAGCCGTCCTGCGGGACCCATGGAGGTATGTTGCGTGGTAATTGTGTTCTACATACCCTATATTTTTTCATTATGCCCATCTTATCCACGACTTTCTTTTCCTCGCCGCAGCTCTCATCACTTTCCTCTATTAGCGCTTTGTTTAGGCCCTGGTCGCTATCTAGTGAGAGAGAGTCTCGTTTAGTATTAGTGTTTAGTGGTGGTGGAGGTTTAGGCGGAGGCATGCTGCTTTCTTCATCTGCCCACTCTCCTTTTTCCTCCCTTTCACTATTTTCCTCGCTCTCTGTATCCCATGCATCCTCTTCATCGTTCTCTTTGTCTTGTTCCTTTACGGCGTGGTCGTTGCTATCTCCTTCAAAATTTCGTTCTGTGTTATCTCAAGGCTCCTGAGTATCGGAATCGTCGTTTCGATTCTCATTGTTATATCTGGGTGAGTGATCGCCACTAGTTCCTTCCACGAGGGCTTGATAGTGTTGATTTCTGAGATGCATGTGTTTAAATTCTTCGTCTTTTCCTCCCATGAATTGTTGGTATACTATCTTATCGGGTGATACTTGTAGGTGTATACATATGTTTGCTTCATATTCTTGTGAAAATATAAAAGCACATTCTCCGTCGCCGAATTCGTGGCTGTTATTAAGTATTAGTTTAGTTCCTTTTGGATCCTAACATTTATTTATTTATTCTGATACACGTAGAATTTTTTTGAGCTTATCTGTTGATTCTGTCAATCCGTATAGAAGTTTTAGGCAATGAAACAGACAACTTCCGTCTCTAGGGACATCGATCATTATTAGCTGTCTGTGAGGTTCTGCGCATTGGGTCCTCGATACTCGAGTCTTTGCATCCTCTTCTTCGTTTATTTCGGTTGGTGTGCTATCGCTTTTTCATACATCGATTCTTATGCCCTCTTTTCCTTCGATGTCTTTCTGCTCAACATCGATTAAGACCTTTGCTCGGAATCGATTGGTTGATTCATTAAACATTGATCTTAAATTGGTAATTTGACCTTTGTTATTATACTTATCGTTTCCGCCGTTGGGTACTTGTGTATGTGGTGGTTGTTGGCTCTCGTGTTCGTTCGGTGCCGTTCGGCTTTGTTCGGTCATTTCCGTCCCCCGCTCATCTGCTTGCTGTTTACCTTTAGCTCTACTCTCTCTCAGGTCATGTACCTCTTCTTTGTTTTCTGATTTCCCTTCGCTTTCTTTGTCTCTGTCAGGTGTTTTCCTGATTTCCTTTGAGTTGTGCGGTTGCTCGACGGTGTTAGAAAAATCTGCAGTTTTTCTATGTAGAGTATCTAACTGTCGTTTACGGATTCTGTGTTGTCTTACCTCTGTTACACCCTTGTTGATAAATGGTGTGCTCGTCGTTTTTACCCCTTTTTCCATGTTTTTCTCTTTGCACATGTACGCCAGTTTATCGTCCGCTGGTCCTTGCGACAGAATTTTTTCTTAATCCTAACCACTGCAAGGGTGTTTTTATCTGCCTTATCAATTCGTTTTTCCGTCATTTCTCGTTCTGATCCTGTGCCTGTATTACTGCAGTTGTGGGTACTCGATACCTGTTTGCTTTCTCTAAGTTTTCTGGGCTTCTTTTTAATTGCCTTCTCGTCTGGCTCGTCTGAGTCAGACGTTTCGATTTTTACTTTTCTGTTCTTTCGAATTAGATTTCTCTGTCTCTTTGTATGCATTTTATATATTCGTGCTGTTGGTGCATTTATGTCTTCGTGATTGTCCTTTTCCTGTTTTTCCGCAAGCTCATATAGCTCCTGGCGTGGTAGTTCTGGGTTTTCTTCCTCTTTCTGAGTACTGGATTGCGAGAAAGAGCATCTTGTGCTTTATTTTTCTGTCTAGATCTATAAACAATATCAAACTCATATCCACGGAGTTCTGCCTTCAATCTTGTGAATCTTAAGTCCAGTTTCTTTGATGTGTGGAAATGTTTGAGTGGTTCATGGTCAGTTATGACTGTAAATTTAGGACCGAACAAATATGGCCTGAGCTGCTCCTTGGCGTACAATATCGCCAATAATTCCTTGTCGTACGTCGGATATCGCAATTCACTGTCCTTCAAGCATCTGAATGCATATTAGCAAGGGTGATCTTTGTCTATCTCTCCCTGGCTTAAAATTGCTCCGATAGCGTAGTCGAATGCGTCGGTTGTTACGATAAAGGGTTCGTTTATATCTGGAGCTCTCAGCACTGGCTCACTGCATAGAGCGTTTTAAGTTTTATTAATGCATGTTCTTGTTCCTCTTCCCATTTAAATTCGGCTGTTTTTCTTGTAAACTTTGAGAGAGGTTGGGCTATTTTTGTGTAATCCTTGATAAAGCGTCGAAAGTACCCCACCAACCCGAGAAATTGTTTCATTTTTCTCACATTTGTTGATTTAGAAAAACTTTTTACTGCTTCAATTTTTTTCGGATTTGTTTTGATCTGGCCGTTGCCTACAATATGACCGAGCACTTTCGCTTCTTTTCTGAGGAATTGGCATTTTCTTGGCTCTATTGTGAGGTTTGCATCGGCTAGCCGTTTTAAGAGGCTTTTGAATCTTATTTCGTGTTGTTCCAAGTTTTCTGCGAATACCATGATGTCATCCATATATACCTCTATCTCCCGTCCTTGTAAGCCTGCTAGTGCCAGTGTTATCACTTGCATGAATGTACTTGGCGAGTCAATGCATCCCATCGGCATTCGTTTATATTGGTAATGTCCGTTTGGTCCTGAGAACGCAGTTTTATGAGCATCCTTCTCGTAAATCTCTACTTAGTAAAGCCCGCTCTTCAAATCTACCACGGTTATATATTTCGCAGCTGCTAAATTTTCCAAAATTTTATTCTGGAATGGCAGTGGGTAGCACGTACCAACTGTTATTTCGTTCAATAGCTGGAAATCTGTTACGACCCTCCAGCGTTTTTCTTTGTTTGGTCCTACGTTTTCCGAGACAATCCACAAATTTGAATTATATGGGGATGTTGATGGCTCAATTATTTGTTGCTGCAGTATTTCTACTTGCATATGTTCCTTTAGTTTTGTTGGATAGCGTACCGTTTTGGCAACTGTTGGCTTCTCTGTTGCCGTTATTATTCGATGCTAAAGTAAATTTGTAGCCTTTAGTGGCTCGCCGTCGAGTCCAAACACGAAGGCATTGTACTCTATGAGATCCCGGATGTGGCTTAGTTCCTCCTTGTTGCAGCCAGATGTATTGACGATTACCATTATTTTGCTTACTCGAGCCACTAAATCCAATTTCTTAATATCTTTAAAATTTTTAATGTTCTTCTTTATATTATAATTATTTTTACCGCTTACGACCATTGATCTACTGGTGGTACCACTAATATGCTTGTATATAAAGTAGCGCTCATTTTTATGTCTTTGAGGATTTCTTCAAATTGTTTGACCATGGATGCCCATTGGTTAAGATTCAGTATCGCTAGATCTCCAGCCCAATTGTTTTTAGTTTGTTTACCATTACTAGCGATCTAAGGGCNTCACCTTTCCGTCTAAATTTTTAGTGTTAAAAAGCCCAATCATGGCTTCGTTTAACCCTTCAGCGTCGTTCCCAGCGATGCTAAATGGTTCCGCCCCTTGTCTAGTTTCACATTCGAAAACTTTTACTTCTGGTACTGGAACGTCAATTTGTTTGTCTGTTATGTTTATGATTTCCGCATATATCTTTAAGTTTTTATTTTCTCCTAGAAAATTTCTAAATAAGATTCCCTCCTTTTTATTTTGTAGAGGGACCTAGCCAACTTGTACGTGGCTACTCTCATCTTTTATACGCGCAAATATTATTTTTCTCGATTTAGCGGGGATTTTAAAATTTTCTGGTTTTAGTAATGGGATTCTGATGCCTTTTAATTCGAAATAATTTTTTCTGGCGCTTATGAGGTCATTATACAACTTTAAAACGTCCCAGTCAATAATGCTTCCCATTTCTATCGGAAAGGTATCGGGGACTACGTGCAGATTCATTATTATACCGTTATGAGGTATTTTAGTCGTCCCGAACGTGCATCGTGCTCCGTGTGTGACGCCAGTTATTAGGACTTTTTCTCTGCTCTCTATATGCGTGTCTGTGGTGAGACAGCATTCTTTTATAATTAATACTTCGGCACAAGTATCCGCGTAAAATTTTGAGCTATAAGATAGCCGCTGATTACTGTTTAATATTACTGATGGCGGTGTGCTTCCAGTACTCGATTTATTTACCTTGCGGAGAGGTAGGTTCATGCTTTCATAAATTTTTTTCTTTACCAGCTAAAGGGCTACTAGTTATAAATTCTGTTTTAATTCTTTGTTCTTTGTAAGCATTCTCAGGCGTTTGAGCAGCCTGTTTGGAGTCTGTTTCCAGCGATACTTTAATTGATTCATTTCTCGTATACTTTTCTTTGCGTGATGTCTCGCTATCGTTACCTCCGATGCGTATTTTATTTGACTCAGCTTGCTCCTCTCCTTCAGCTGACTCCGTTTCGTTTTTATGCTCTATCTCCTTCTCTATTCTCAGGGCCCGCTCGGCGCTTGGGGAGTATGACGAGCGTCCTGCGAGTTTAAATGTTCCGTGCTACGCGTGGATAATTTTTCATTAGGTGCATTATTTGTTTTATTCGGAGGTCCTCTGTCGTTATAATTTTCATCCCTGTTATAATTTCTGTTATAATTATAATTTCCTCTATAATTATTGTAGTTACCATACTAGTTGTTGTAAATGTTAATGTTATTTCTTGAGTAATCAGGGTTTCTGTTGTAGTTTTTATATCTGTTGTAGCCTGTATTCTTATAGGGTATCCTTCTATAATTGTTGTTATAGTTTTGGCTATACGTATTAGGGGGGTAATTATAATTAT